CAAAGTGTTGAGCCAGAGGCAGTGATTCCCCCTCCTCTTGATCTGCTCTAAGTGATTGACATTATTGATCATCAAAAGGATACTCCTGAAAATGTCATTATCCTCGTAGGTAATATATCAACCATTCAGCCTCCACACAATGCTCTTGATGTAGGTTCCCCTTTAATGGAACCTGTTTTCGTGGGGGCTGGAGAGTCATTTCAGACTTCACCTGCCTCATCAGATTGAACAAGTTGTTACTGTTACTTAGGCACATGGGGTTCATGATGTGCAACAGCCTACACCTGTCCGACCACCTTTGGACCAATCCACTGATCTGATGAGCCAAACTTCGGATGAGAAATGACAGGTTTATACATCTAAAAAGAAGAAGAAGAATGAAGGCCTATTATCAATCTTGATGGATGATACATTAGTTGCTTCGGGTAATGACAACAAACTTAACAATTTCTTGCCCGAACTAGGGCTTCTACTTTGGTTACCCAAACTAGGGCTTCTATTTTGGCTTTTTTTTGTGAGATCTCTCCGTTTATTCTTCTGCTTGAACCGATTGTGTGGTTTTTTTCCTCTTTCACCCCACTCAACGGAGTAGTGATCCATGGCTTCCGAACCCTAGTAGTCTCACCCTCAGTCGTCTCCTCCATTCAAACAGCTCGCGCGTACAATCAGTTATCTCAGTTGATCACTAAAGCCAAAAAAATTGGATCTTCGGTTTCCCCTCTGTCTCACTCATCTGCTTTAGTCGCAAGTTTGGTTCTTTGGCTTCTGTTCCTCCTCAACCATCGACTGCTTCAGTTTTAAACCTTAGAAAGGCTTGGCTCTGTGGGATTAGTGGATAATCGGGTCTTCCCTCAGGTTTATCATGAATCGTTTGAAGGCCAGGGGGACTGTAACCTCATCAAGAAGGAGAGTAGGAAGAGTGGCAAAGTAGCTTTAATTTTCTCAGATGTTGAAGTTTCCAACTTGGTTCGAAAGTGCAAATATACCCCCATTGGGAAGTTCAGTTGGAACATCCTAAAATGAAAATCGTTCGAAAGACTTCTGAAAATTTCAAACTATTAGGAGATTGGAATGTTGGTCTCTTTGATGAGAGACATGCGATACTACAATTATTTAAACTAGAAGACTATGCCAAAATATTTTTTAAGAATTATATACCAGTTGATGGGAAATATATGAAATTGTTCAAGTGCTCTCCTGAATTTGATCCTAGCCAAGTACCACTATAGTTCCAATCTGGTTTAAATTACCTGTCCTAAAGTTGCACTAGTTTAATCACCAAGTCATCTATTCTATTGGAGCTGCACTAGGAGACCTATGAAATTGGACATACCCACCTTCAACCTATCCAAATTTTCTGTTGCAAGAATTCTTATTGAAAGAGATATCACCCTCCCTGATGTGGACATACCTACCTTCAACCTATCCACTCATTAAAACTTTTGTATCTTCCCTTTTACATCAATGAATTTGCCTTTTATATAACCCTAATCCATAACAACAACAACAACAACAACAAAGCCTTAATCCCACTACGTGGGGTCGGCTACATGAATCATTTTTCTCCATTGCGTCATATTTAGTGTCATATTTTCATTTAGTTCTAGTAAATTAAGATCATTTTTAATACAAAAGCCCAAGTCTTCCTAGGTCTACCTCTGCCTTTCTTAACACAAGTCGAATTTAAAACATTAATAAAAAATCAAATGTAGATTCTCCTTATTATCTCTGAACTTCTCCATCAAACCTCTCAATAAATGTATAGCTTCCATAGTAGACCTGCCAGGCATAAATCCAAATTGATTATGAGAAATTTTTGTGATGCGTCTTAACCTATGTTCAATTACCCTCTCCCATAATTTTAAAGTAAGACACATCAACTTAATTCCTCTATAATTTACACACTCTCGTGCATCCCCTTTATTCTTAAAAATGGGGA